CCTCACCAGCACATGCACTATGCATGTACCAGGCAGGTGCCTGGGCTGAACTCCGATCCCAGGGCTGCTTATCCACGGCAGCACCGGGCTGCTGGAGGGGTTGTCACGGACGCGTTGGCAGGAGGATTGGAGGCTGACACAGACGTCCGCTCAGCTGTGGACCCATGGCCTGGCCACAGCCCTGCCAGAGGATGCCTGGGTGAAATCCAGGTCACGGTTCACCTCCCTCCTTATTTCATTCAACGACGCCTTGAAGCCCCCCTAATGCAACCAGCCTGGGTGGCACATCCCACCCAGAGATTTCCAAATCAGAAGATGTCAATTGAGAAAGTTAAAATTAGGCCCTAGCTCAGTGCTGTGGAATTAGAATCTGTGAGGCTGGGTCCAGGCATCTGTGTTGTAATATTTTCTCCACGTGACTCTCATGCCGAAAGGATTGTATTGACGAAGCACTTGTGCTTCACTCTACTGATATTTCTGCACTAGAGCTACAGCCGTTGTTATATTAAACTGCAGCCACAGGAGGAAAAGAGAGGAGGAGAGGTGATAGTTCTGCTTGTCTCCAAACACGCTGTTACTGAACCAAACTTGGGTCCACTCGCCCGCACGCACTAAAGCCAATCTACTGACACCGGGTCACGGTGAAGGAAAGTGCCGCGTTTATGGCAGGGCAACAAGCAAGGGGTCCAGGTATCTAGGGCTCAGAAGGCCCCCACTCCCCAATGGCTTTCAGGGAAAGGTGTTTACAGATGGGGTGAGGCTGTTGGTGGGAATGTACACTGGTGCCGCCACTATGGAGAACAGTGTGGAGGTTCCTCAAAACACTAAAGCTAGAGCTACCGTACGACCCAGCAATCACACTCCTGGGCATAGGCCCAGAGAAAACCATAATTCAAGAAGACACATGCACCCCAATATGTATAGCAGTACTATTTACAATAGCCAAGACATGGGAGCAACTTAAACGTCCATCGACAGAGGAACGGATAAGAAAGAGGTGGTACATATATGCGATGGAATACTACTCAGCCATAAAAAATGAGATAATGCCATTCGAAGCAACATGGATGGACCTAGAGGTTATCATACTAAGGAAAGGAAGTCAGACAGAGAAGGACAAATACCATATGACATCACTTCTATGTGGAATCTAAAACAATGATACCAATGAACTTCTTTACAAAACAGAAACAGACTCACAGACATAGAAAACAAACTTATGGTTACCAAAGGGGAAAGGTGGGGGAGAGGAATACATCAGGAGGTTGGGACTAACGTATACACACAACTATATATAAAATAGGCAATCAACGAGGACCTCCTGTAAAGCACAGGGACCTCTACTCAATATTCTCTATTAACCTAGGGAGTCCCCTGCTGGCGCAGAGGTTACGATTCTGGTCTTTCACGGTCGTGGCCCGGGTTCAATACCTGGTCAGGGAACTGAGATCCTGCGAGCCACAGAGCGCGACGAAAAAAAAACACAAAATTTTGTAATAACCTAAATGGGAAAACAATCTGAAAAAGATATCTGTGTACATAGAAGTGAATCACTTTGCTGTACACCGGAAACTAACACAACATGGTAAATCAACTATAGCCCCAAAATAAAATTTTAAAAATGTTTAAAGTGAATTACAAAAGAGTGGGGTGAGGGAGGGGAGGTTGAGGGGTGTGTGCTCAGCTTGTGGACATTCTTCCGATTGGTTTGGTGGTGAGGTCATTTGAGGTCAACATCATCAACCTTCTGGTTCCAGCTGGTCTGGGGTCTACGTGCTTGTGGGCAGCATGCAGTTAACTTCTTCCACCTGCTGGGGGCTTCAGTCTCTGCAAAACAGCTCCAAGGACGAGGCTCAGAACAGTATCTACGGCCCTTGAGGAAGAAGGAAAGGTCCTTGGCTTTGTTTAACGGCTACACTAGTATTATCTGGTCGTTTTGGACTCTTTTCCTTTCTTTTGGCACTTTCTCCCTTCTCTGATTAAATTGTCCGTTTCGAACTCAGGGAAGGCTAGGAGGCTAAAATTTTCTAAAGACAAGAAGCAGGCAGAAGACATGGAGAGAATCCGGCCCAGGAAGGCCCCACAAGGTCCTGCTCACTTACAACATCAGATTCGACCTGGGCTGTTTACGCCGTTTTGGGACAACATACCAACACATCTTGAGATGGGTCCCACCCGACTGTAGCACATTTGGACAAGGTGAGGTGGGGTGGGATTATGCAAATCCAGATCTGAAGACTAGATAAAGCAATCAGGGTGTTTCACAGTATACAAGAGAAATTTTCACAGGGACAGAATACCAACCTTCTAAGATTTGAAAGCCTGTTAACCAAGAGGGAGAGTGAACTTCTGTTCTGTTATACAAGGACCCAGTCAGCAGTGATGGTTAAAAGCACGATGAATGCAAATCTGAACTCATTTGCCTCCTAACGATGGAACGTCTACAGCAGAGGGACACAGGTCCTCGAGCAGCAGTGCTTTTCCCAGCAGTGCGGACCCTGAAGAGAGCCGGGCTGTGGCAGCTCTGGAGGACCTCAGACGCTCTTTGCATGGCCTCTGAGATCTAGAACATCTCAGAAAGTCCAYGAGTGCAAACCAAATAGACACTCAGTCCCTGCACCTCGGATGAACTGATTTGACTCTACGTATGCATTGCTTGGGCTAATTAGAAATATGTAAGTGATCAAAAGACAAACTAAAACGCTGGGCACATCCTGAACAACAGAGATACTTCTCATCAAAGTCCAAACAATAATTCAAAAGCAAGATTCAGAGCCAAAATGTGGAAACAACCCAAGCGTTCAGTGACAGATGAATGGATAAAGAAAATGTAGTGTGTATATTCATACAACAGATATTATTCATCCACAAACAGGAAGGAAAGTTTCTAATTGATAGAAAGAGCATTTATGTATTTCTCAATGATTGTTTGACATTTCTTTGTATAAGCAGTGAAAATTTAACAATTCCACTTGTAAGAGGAAAGGTTAGTGTTTCTTTGTAGAAACAGTTAAGTCTCAGCAGTAGAGGCATAAGCACACACGTGCACACAGAGTAAACAGAAATACCGCCCCGCTACCTCCCCCCAATCTGATCCCCGCTGATTCTCCCTCCAAATATATGGAACCTGTTGACTTCACTCCATCTCCTCAGACATCGTCTTCCTGCACTACCACGCCAAATTCCTAACCATATCTGGGGCTCCCGACTTCCACTCTTGCTGAATCCCCACCCCATCCATTTATACAGCAGCCAACATCAACTGTTTCCCTTTCAGTGCCAACTGGATCACGACACCTCTCATTCACTGGTTTCCCACTGCACTTGGCATACATCTCAACTTCTTCAGACCCAGGGTTTTATTTCCTTCTCACTCACTGTGTACTGTCCACACTGGCTTTGGGGTCTAAGAAGGAAATTTTGACACAGGCTACCACACGGAAGACACTTGAAGACATTATGCTAAGTGGATAGGCCAGATACAAATGGACAAATGTTACATGATTCCACTTCGGTGAGATCCCCAGAGGGGTCAAATTCATGGAGACAGAAAGTGGAAGGGTGGGTGTCAGGGGCTGGGGAGATGGGGAGTCAGTGTTTAATGGGGACAGAGTTTCAGTTTGACAGCATGAAAACATTCTGGAGACGGAGAGTTGGGACGGTTGCACAACAATGAGAATTCTTTATTTTTCTTCTTAAGATTTTTGTTTTACTTATTTTTGGCTGCGTTGGGTCTTCTTTGCTGTGCGCAGGCTTTCTCTAATTGCAGCGAGTGGAGGCTACTCTTCGCTGCGGTGCACGGGCTTCTCATTGCGGTGGCTTCTCTTTACGGCGGAACACGGGCTCTAGGCGCACGGGCTCAGTAGTTGTGGCTCGCGGGCTGAGGAGTTATGGCTTGCGGGCTCAGTACTGCTGGCGCACGGGCTAAGGTGCTCCGCGGCATGTGGGATCTTCCCGGACCAGGGCTCGAACCCGTGTCCTCTGCATCGGCAGGTGGATTCTTGACCACTGTGCCACCAGGGAAACCCAACAATGTGAATTCTTCATGTCACTCAACTGTACCCTTAAAATGGGCAAATTTCATGTAATGCAAATTTTATCACAATAAAAAAAGAGAGAAGGGGGGAGGGAGGGAGGAAGGGAGGGAGGATGGAAGAAAGGAAGGAAAGGCAAGACTCAGACCCCCAGGCAAGGAGTGGAAGCATGAGTTGGGAAGTTCAGAAGAAGCCTTCAGTGGCACTGCATGATTCTGAGTTGGCTATTTTCTTCTCTGCATCTCGGCTACCGTGTACTTCCTACCCTCATAGAAAAATCACCTGTCTTGAACTGGAGATTTTCCCATTAAGGCTTTTTGTACATGTGACATTTTTATTCAGGCAGTGAAATCTCTGGGACAACAGTGATACTACATTCTCAAAATTTTGATAAGTAGACGAGAACTTCTTAATTGGAATCCAGGGGCAGGCTTTGGACAATCCATGGACTTTGTGAAATCCAAAGGTGCCCTTTGTGTGTGTGTGTGTGTGTGTGTGTGTGTGTCTGTCTGCAGACACCCGTTGAAGGGTGCGTGAGCACGTGTAGTTCTGTATGATTTTAGCTGCTCAAAATGCCTCTTGGGCTCAAAGGTGCCTGAGGGTAGCGGACGTGTGCTCCCCCACTACAGAATTCTGAACACAGTGCCAGTAAACACTGAGCAGAAGAGCTTTGCAAAATTCCATGTTTTAACGTAACTTTTTAATCCAGTGAGTCAATGTACCTGGGATATTTTTTGACATACTTATCTCACTCTTATAAGGCTGAACCGTTGCTGCTTCCCCTAAGTCTCCTCGTCCCTCTCCCCACTCTCCCACCAGCCCGTGGAAGAGGAATGGGAGGGAGGGGGAGAGTGCAGCAGGGAGAGGACAGCGCACCTACTGGGAAGCGGTAAAGCGGGGTCTGGACACCTTGAGGGGGGTTTTGGAGGACGGGCAGAGGTTGGGGCAGAGGCAGGAGATACCGTTTACCCCTGATCTCTGGGACAAGTGCACACATAGGTGTGACAGTTACTTGTCATTTCCTTCAAACTGCTGGCCAGGTTGGAATGACGCATGATGACATCAGAGGCTTCCGACCTTCCTGATTGGAAGGACCAGACTCCGTGGCGCTCGGCAACAGTAGTAGACAATAGCATCTCGCCAGAGCTTCTCTCCACTGCCAGTTGCCCCGCAGCTTGGAGAAGGGACGACCACTCGTGTTTAGCCCAAGTCCAGAACAAGAGTTGGGACAAAGCAGAGTCTAGGCTTCGAGGAAGGGAAGAGTTTGGGAGACATCATGGACAATCGTCCACCGAGTTCCCAGGCTGAGGACGAGACCTGCCAGCCCAGCTCCTCAGGGTACCCCCTGGAGGTGACTGTCTATGAAGAAATCCCAGGACCGTCAGGTGAGGGAGCTGGCACGAGAAGGAATTTCAGAGGCTTGACCGGTAAGGAGGAATGGGTACACAAGTCGGGAAAGAGCCCCCGCAAAAGGTGCCTATGAAAGAAAGGAGACATTCGGAAAGCCAGGGATTGAGGGAGGAGAGCACAGGAGCTGGGGACACGGAACACCTGGGGAGCAAGAAAGAGGGTTAGGAGACGAGATCCAAGGATGAGAGGAGGGAAGAGAAGAAACAAGGGGAGGGTTCTTTTTTTTTTTTTTTTTTTCCTGGTGGGAGAAATTATCTACCATGAGAAAGAGTTTCGAGGACAGGAAGCTGGAAAAATGACAACAGGAGTCAGGGAAGGGATCGGTAGATATGGACAGAGAAAGATGGAAAGATGACTTGGGGCAAGGTCAGCGGTCTGTGAGACTGGAAAGCACGGGGGTGCTTCAGGGGGGAGGCAGAGTCGGGGTGGGGTTGGGTGGTCACCAGTGGCTGAATTCCCAAGACGAGAGCGTCATACTGTAGTCTCTTCTCCTTCGTCAGCCCCCTGGGCCGGTTGCACCTCCCCGCCTCAGCGCCCCGGCGGGAAGAGGAAGAGGTCAGTGGCGTTCAGAGCGGAGGTGGAGGGCGACCCGGCCGCTGAGGCCCAGGACACCTGGGTCGTGGAGTGGCTGATTGGGCTCAAGATGAAGCTGAAGCGACAGCGGGTGTCTTCAGTGCTGCCTGAGCACCACGAGGTCTTCAACAGGATGCTCGGTAAGGACCCGCCCCCTCGCCCAGCACCCTCCAATCCTATACTTGAATAACAAAGAAACAAATCTTCCCATGACTACACTTTTCCAGTGGAAAACAATTCCCTGCTAGTTGGTGCGCTCTCCGTCCCTGGCGGACTGTCTACGGATAAAGGATACAGGGGACACGTAAATGATGCAGGATGAGGTTAGATTTAGAAATGATACAGGGTTAGGTTTGTTTGGCTTCAACTGTACCCCTGAGACTCTAGCTCTTACTGGCCTTTTGAATCTTACTGGTGCGGGGCGGAGGGCCGGGGGCTGACAGTCCATCTTCGCCCCAACGAGACTGTCAATTGAGAAACTGGCTGAGAGTAACTCGATGCCCTCTGCACTGATACGTGAATGCATGATGAAGGGGCATCACTCCCTGTCACTCGGCCCCCCCTAGAAGGGGAGTCACCCCCTTTCCTCCCACAGTGAATGGTCTTCAATCCCCTCGTCCCATCACCTTCACCCTGGGCCACAACTTGGCATTTCCCCGGGGGGCGGGGGGAGCGCGGTTCTCCCTCTTGGCTCTGCAATGCTCCCACGACAGCCCTGTTCCCACTGGCAACATCTGCCCTCTTTTCACAGAGGATCCCGTCGTTAAGAAATTCCTTGCCTGGGACAAAAGGCTGGAAGTATCTGACAAGGTAAGTCACCCGCTGAGATGGATGCCAGCTCCAGCGCCTGTCCTGGGTGGGCGCACGGGGTGCTTTCTACACCCACGTTTCCACTCCCCTCCCAACCTGATGCCTTGTCAACACTTCCCTCCAGGGGCCTCGAGGTCCCCTCTGGGATCTGAGCCCCAGGTGTGCCCCTTTGGTGGTTGCTGCCTAAGTCCCCTCTCCTCTCAGCTCCTGGGGACTCGCCTTGGCTCCGGTTCATCAAACACAATCCAGTGCCAGTGGCCCTAAGTCCACGCCCTCAACCCACAGCCTCCCATCCTTGGAGCGTCGCAAACTCTGACCTTCTGTCCTCTCCCTTCCCCAAATAATCAGGCTCACCCAACACGGGGGGGTCTCCTCTCCAAGTGGCACCACCCATTCCTCGTCCCCTGCTCCCTTCTCCCTCCCACTCTTTCTCCTCTTCCAGGAGGTGACCTCTCTCCTACGTTTTTTTCCCTCTTTCCATCAGTATCTCCTGTCGATGGTGATAGCTTATTTTAGCCGGGCTGGGCTCTTCTCCTGGCAATTCCAGAGAATCCATTTCTTCATAGCTCTGTGAGTACCTTGCTCCATCCCCGCCATCAGTATTCAACACCCTGGGAGGGCGGAGAGAGAGACGTGGGGTTCTGACCTTTCATCTATTTTTTTTAAACCCCTTTGTACTGTTTACTCTGGTGTGAAAATGACAGGACTACGGTACAGTGGTTTCTTTTTCAAACAAAGTTATGGTTTTTATACCATTCATTGTCAAAACAAACTACCCTAATGTCAATTAAAACACTGAACGAAACAAAGCAAAACACAAAACCTTCCGAAGAGGAGAGGAAGAAAGAACTGATACCATCCTGCCCCCGAGTAAACAGATTTGAGACGTTTCCGGTTCTGACTTTCCAGTCTCGGGTCTTCCCACATCAGCACCAAGTGTGATTATCTTCCGTTTCTGCGTTCCCACGACAAATGCCACAATCGGGGGGCCCTTATCACATAGCGCGGATCTGGTATAAAATGCTCCCCACTGACGTTTCTTCCAAGTCTCCCAAGCCAGTCGGCTCTATCTGCCTGAATATCCTCCCAAAACACAGGTCTGACCGCTTCGCACAATTTCATTGGCTAATGACGTGCCAAATCAAGGCCAGAGTTCTGGGTTGGAATTCAACTCTCTCTGCAATCTCCATCACACTGTCCTGATACTTTATTCCTGTGTTCCACTGTTCCTTCCAAATACCCTGCCCTCTAAGTTTCTATTGGGCTTTCTGTCCAGGTATCTTTCCCACACATTTATCTGAAGAAAATGACCCTATCCTTAAAGTGGGTTCAAACACCAAAACCTTTACGATGCCTCATCTCCCTAACTTCTGCATCCCGGAGGCACTTGACTTAAAATCGTATTATAATGTGATGCTTTGCATTATAGTCATTTCTTATCTCCCCGCTTCCCCTTCCCCAGTCCCATTAGACTGGACACAATGTGGAAGGCAGGTCTTGTCAAAATGTCAATGCATTCCCAAAACACTCAGCACAATTCTTTTCATTTTGCAAATGTTCGTTMTTGTGAGTCTTCGAGGTAATCAGTATTGCATTTGGCTATGAGATTAAATGTTCATTCATTCATTCATTTAATGAAACCTTATAAAGTACACCCTACATGCTGGGGAATATGAGGTGATGGGAATAGAGATTCACAAAAGGCTGTTGAATTCATGTATCAATATGAACCAAGCCCTAAATGTGTCATTTGGTAGGAGAGGGATGAATGCAGAAACAGATCAGATCAGCTCCTGCCCTCAGGAACTGTACATGTACCTACAACATAGGGAGAGAGGTGTGTGCACATAAAACAAGTTGAAGGGAACAGGGGGTTTGGATTTTGTCCTCATCCTCAAGGTGTGAGAGGCACCCTTCCGAAGGTCCTGCCTGGCAGTGCCTCCTTGATGACTGGGCGGCTCTCGGTGCCGGTGACGGTGACGGTGACGCTGGGCAGGGCTGGGTGGGTCGTGTGAGGATGTTCAGCCTGCCTCTTTCCTGGGAAGCTGATCTCAAGTGGAGGCCCTTCCTGTCCTGATGACAGCGACCTGATGTCTTTCCCCAGCTATGTGGCCAGCGACATGGAAGAGGACAACCAGGCCCCCAAACAAGCCATCTTTTCGTTCCTCTATGGAAAGAACCGCTCCCAGCGTCCCTTGTTCCACAAACTGCGTTCCCAGTTCATCCGTTCCATGGGCTGGAAGACGAGGGTCACTCGGGAAGAGTGCGAGCAGGTGGGTGGGCTGTGGCGGTCTCCGGGAGGGGAAGGGCCGGTGAGGAGGGGGGGATCACGGGGAACTCGGTTTGGGACTTGGGGATGGACGAGAAAGAACCGGAGGCCGGCAACGGGAGGCAGCGGCATCCTCATTGCCAGGGGCTGTTTTTCTTTCCAGATCCAGGCTTTTGATCCAGAGCTCTGGGTGTGGGGAAGAGATCGCACCCTCTTGCCCCAGGGGCCCCAGGAGCACTCAGGCCTCCTGTCAACGGTCTGCGCAAAGGTAGGTCTGCATGCGTCCGCAAAGGTGCGGGCGGAATGACGTACTGTCTATTGAGGAAATCGGAGGAATCCCACTGCTGGACCCACATCACCTCTCACGCTGTGAAGGGGGCCCGACGGGCACGCAGCCACACGCAGACTCAGCGCCCAGCCACAGACTGACAGCCACACACAGACACCAGCACCGCGGGGCCCGTGGGCGCCAGACCTTGGGGAAACCAGTTTATCCCAGACGCATGGGTCTCACTGAAATCATTTCACCCAAAGCAACTGGGTCCAAATAACAGCTTTGACGAGATGGTGATTTTCTTCCATATACTGTGTTCCCAGTTTCTCTTTTTCATTCATTTTTTGGCCTTACATCCCTCAGGGATATGGGTTCTAGCATTCACCTACAACAAAGTAAATGTCTTTATTTTCATCCAAATTTACTTTCAAATTGCTTATGGCCAGATGACCTGTGACTCTCTATTTCCCCGACTCACCACTTCTGGACCAATGATTCCTCTTGTACAATTCACCTTTTCCCCCTCAAGTTTACGGTCAAGGGGATTTATCACAACGAGCGAAGGTTAAGGAATGCCATCTTCAGCAGGGCTTATTACAATTGACACATTAGAGTTCTAGACGTGGGCAGAGGGTTGAGCAAACATTTGGCTTAAATCTTGCAAACTAGCTGTCTTAGTCCATTCGACCTGCCCTACTACAGACTGCGTGGCTCATAAACAACACACCACAGTCTCTTTTACAAGGCCAATAATCTCATTCATGAGGGCTCTACCTCCCAAACACCCCACCTCCTAATACCAGCACCTTAGTGGTTAAGATTTTAAGATTTCAACATAAGAATTTTGGGGGACACAAACATTCAGCCCGTAACACTAACCAACTTTAGGACTGAGTATTATTTAAACGTTAGGATCCAGGGACTTCCCTGGGGGCAGAGTGGTGAAGAATCCGCCTGCCAACGCAGGGCACACGGGTTCGAGCCCTGCTCCGGGAAGACCCCACATGGCGCGGAGAAACTAAGCCCGTGTGCCACAACTACTGCACCTGAGCTCTAGAGCCCACGAGCCACAACTACTGAGCCTGCATTCTACAGTCCGCAAGCCACAACTACTCAGCCTGTGCGCCTAGAGCCCATGCTCCGCAACAAGAGAAGCCAACGTCATGAGAAGCACCGGAGAGTACTCCTCGCTCACCACAACTAGAGAAAGCCCACGCGCAGCAATGAAGACCCAATGCAGCCAAAAATAAAATAAAGGAAATAAGTAAATAAATAAAAAATTAATAATAAAATAGACATTAGGATGCAGGGTTAGCGTCAGGGTTAGGGATCCGGCATCAGGCCTCCTGGTCCACGATGTTGACTTGTCAGTGATGTCTATAGTGTGGTGCCAAGTTCAGAACTGAAGTGGTGCCAAAGGACCAAGGTGAGTTAAGACTAAAGCAGCATTCTTCAAATGCCAGCTCCCTGAGCAGAATCACCTGGGGTCTTTGTTATAAAGCAGATTGCTGGGCCTGACCTTAGGTATATTCAGTGGTTTTTGGAGTCAGGGTCACCAGAGTCCAAGAATCACACTTGAAAACAATGAATGGCTCAGGACTGGGGTTCAGAATGGAGAATTTGAGATAAAACTGCAATCATAAAGGAGTCTCAGTTCTGGTTAGAGTTGACTAAGCATGTGAAAACCTTTATATCTGCAGAGTTGCCACTTTGAAATCTGACATCCTCGCTCATTCTCTTACTTCCAGATCACAGAGCCCAGGAGAGATGAGGATGTTCAACACGAGGGCACTCCAGACAGTGATGACAGCTGTGAGGAAGGAAGGGAGAAAGCCTCTTGTGCAGATAATCGCGAAGAACCCAGCATCTTCTAGAATGAGCTGAGAAGAGTTTTCATATCATACTCCTAGGAGCGGGGCATGCTTCTAGGAGTCTGTGGCAGGACAATAAGAAAACAGGGTTTTCTCAGATTCCATCCTTTTGGAAGTCACCACCCCAATTTTCAGATCATTTCATTCAAATCTCCCCTGAGGTCCCATTGGAGGTCCCATTTTTTATACACTTGTTTGCCCCGGTCTAGAAGCATCTGAAGGTGGAGTGTAGGGGCTCAGAATAGGACAGAAAAAGTTTTAAATATATAATGAGAGCCATAGGGTCGTGACTGATGACTTAACTTTCACAGGCTTATTTTGAAAATGTCACCTATAAAATTATTGTATGTTTATATTTATATATTTATTTTAAATAGTTTTGAAATAGTCTTCACTTAGGAACACCTTGTTCCTACAAACCTTTTGTGATGCGTATTACAGCTGTTGTATATTTACACATATATACAATTGTATTCACATTTTCAAGAG